ATCAGTGCCCTTTAGTGCTGCCTATCAGTGCCCATAAGTGCCGCCTATCAGTGCCCATCAGTGCTGCCTCATTAACGCACATCAGTGAAGGAGAAAAAATACCTGTTTGAAAAATTTTATAATAGAAACAAAGAAACTTTTTTTTTTTTTCAAATTTTTTGCACTTTTTTTATTTATAGCGCAAAAAGTAAAGCGCCCAGTGGTGCTTAAATACCACCAAAAGAAAGCTCTATTTGTGAGAAAAAATGATCAAAATTTCATATGGGTACAATGTTGCATGACTGCGCAATTGTCAATCAAAGTGCGGCAGCGCTGAAAGATGAAAATTGGCCTGGTAAATAAGGGGGTATAAGTGCCCGGTAGGCAAGTGGTTAAAAAATTTTTTTTTTCAAAATTTTCGATTTTTTTTCTTGGATATAATACAAAACCTAGTGGTGGTCAAATACCACCAAAAAAAGATCTTTTTATGTGAAAAAATTATAAAAATTTAGTTTGCGTACAGTGTTGCACAATTATCAGTTAAAGTAGCACAGTGCCAAATTGCAAAAATGGCCTAGTCATGAAGGGGGTAAAACCTTTCAGAGGGCAAGTGGTTAAGCAGCATAGATTGCTGTTTGGTGCATCAGGAACAGAAGACTTTGTAGACACAGCGGTCACTGACAGAGATCTGCAACCATGGGAAAAATAGGCACTTGTGAGTAGGGGCGGACTGACCATTTGGAAACTCGGGCACTGCCCGAAGGCCCGGGGTCAGTAGGGGGCCCCATGAGATGCCCCTGCTACCTTTTTCATAGGCTTTTTTGAGTTTGGGCAAGGGCACAGGGGCCCCATGATCCCCTATTGCCCGGGGGCCCCATGAGTTTTCAATCCGCCCCTGCTTGTGAGTGTGTGGTAAGGAGAACTAGTATGGACAGTTGTACAATCTGACGATTTGTATGTCTATATTGATGTAAATGGTGGGGCACATCCAGAATATTTTGGGAGATTACGGCTCTCACTTCTTCAGGGCTTTGAGAGACATCTCATTCCATTCATTTATAATATAACCAAAGGCAAAATGTTTCTTTAGTTGTGGATAGAGTGGAGAAGGATTAGAACGGCTCTCAATCTTTATTGCTGGCTGTGTCCCCATTAGGGAGATTCACTCTCTCTATTTGTCCTTTTTACCATTATCATAAAAAAACAAATAAAAGAAGATCCCAAATTTTGAGTTGTCCCCAGAAAAATAATAGAGAGGAAATTTTCCAATGGGGACACTAGTTCTGGTAACCTAGGGGGCCCAAAGAATTCTCTTAATTTGCAGGGATTTCCTCTCACTGCCTGTTTTGGGTATAAGACAAGAACTGAAGATAAATCTCACCAATGGGACACAGATGGCAAAAAAACTTACAGGGGTTATAACCCTCCCTCATGCTATTGCTAAATGAAAAACAAAACGTTTTGCCTATAGTTCTACTTTAAATATGTGAAGAAAGATGATCTGCAACTCCTTAATTGCTCTTTAAAATCCTCAAAATGTATTAATTCTCCATAAAAAAGACAATGTTCAGACAGCAGATGCATTTCAGGCTTATGGGCATTATTCACAAGGCTAAAACCCGTTAACTTCAGCTGTCTGAACATTTTGTCTTTATGAAGAATTTACACATTTTGAAGATTTTAACTGCTTGCCTGCTGCCCTATAGTACAACTACTGCTACAGGGAGTCAGGGCTGCGCACTACGCACACTGCCATTGGTGGCTAGGGATCTCAATCACCAGGTCCCAGCTGGAGATTCCCCGCCGGCACCCGGCGATCGCCATGTAAAACTGACAGGGAAGAGACTTGTGTGTAAGCAACACAGGTCTCTCTCCTGCCAGCAAGGACATGCTGCTTTGTATTTCAATGCATAACAGAGAAATACAAAGCAGCATGTCTCTCCAGTAAAACAGCACACACAGTAAAACACTCAGAGCACACAGTTAAGGCTTTGATCGCCCAAAGGTTAACCCCTTCCTGCCCAGTGTCATTAGTACAGTGTCAGTGCTTTTTATTAGCATTGATCACTGTAGTAGTATCATTGGGATGTCAGTGACAACAAGTCAGTTCCCCCCCGTTTTAAGAATACCCACCCCAGTACCGCAGTCCCGTTATAAGTTGCTGATCACCGCCATTATGAGTATAAAAAATAAAAAATTAAAATTCCAGTATATTTACCACCATTTGTAGATGCTATAACTTTCACATGAACCAATTAATTTACACATATTGGGATTTTTTTTAGCAAAGACATGTAGCAGAATACACTTTGGCCTAAATTTATGACAACATTTGATTTTTTAAATTTTTTTACTGGATATGTTTTATAGCAAAAAGTCAAAAATATAGTTTTTTTTTTCAAAATTGTCAGTCTTTTTTTGTTGATAGCGCAAAAAATAAAAAACACAGAGGTGATTAAATATGACCAAAAGAAAGCTCTATTTGTGGGAAAAAAAGGACATAAATTTCATTTATGTACAGCATTGTATGACTGCACAATTGTCAGTTAAAGTAATGCAGCGCTGTATCACAAAAAATGGCCTGGTCAGGAAGGGGGGTAAATGCTCTGGAGCAAGTGGTTAAAGAGCAAGTAAGGAGTTATCTCTGCATGATTGTAATTGCAGCTGTGCGACTGCCTTTCCACACCCGGCATCTCTGGAAGACTTCTTTATCTCATTGGGTTGTAGAACAATATCTTTATTTTATTTTATGTACTTTTCTGCCTTCAGGAGAATGGTGTTCAGGTGTTGTAGGCACTGCAGTAGGCCTTGTCCATTCCAGTGGGAAAAAAAACAAAAAAGGGGGCTAGCTGACTACTTGGGGCACTCAGAAAACAGTTGGAAGAGCATAGAAAAACCAGAAAGATAGAGGAAAGTCATGAATGTTATTCTGATGAGTAGGTACTCAGATCCCTAAAATGTAAAGGTTCCAATAGCCTTGCTTGGAATCCCTGTGGTTTCTCCCCATTACTAAGCAGATGTGGATACTAATTCATATAATAATTGCGAATGAATGTGTCCCTGGTTATAAACCACTGATTCTACTGTTAGTGTAAACAAATCCAATTGCCCCATTTCCAGGTATCATTTTTTTTTCTGTGCTTTATAAACTAAAAAAATTATTCCATCCTGCAAACTGTTAGTGCATACTTAGCAATATTTTTCACCAAAACATTAGACAGAGTAATATTCATCAAAGTTGAGTTGTAGAAAAAGCCATCTGCTTTCCTACAACCGTATTTTAAACAAATCATACAATTTTGTAGGATTGGCTCTTTATTTCAAAATGAGGTCAAACTCAATCAGCACAGAAATGTCAACAAACCATAGATCTACAAATGTGCAGCCAGTAATAACCTCTTGAGTTGTTTGCTTTAGATTATGTTCTTACCAAGTCTAACTACCTGGCGGTCAATCAAAAGTACATATTTACACCTGATAACAACTAATTCCTGGCTACCTACAGATCAGAAGTAAGCTACTACAAGAATTATGTGTATTAGCATTTCTTATAGAATGTCAATATGAAGCGGACCAGAAAATGGTATGGTCAGGTTTTTTAAAAAATAATAGAACTGAAAAAAGAAATCATTGCTCATCGATGTATAGTATTCCTTTGACATGGCTACATTTAACCTGATAAACATTGTTGTACAAACACTGAATATAGTGTACTAAAGATGAAAAAAATAAGATAACATAGGTCGACATGACGTAGCAGATTAGAATAAAGAGGACCTGTACTGTGGAGGCTGTACCCAAGAAAGCAGGCAACAATTGATTGGTCACAGTATTGCCTGTAGGTAGATAGTTGCCTTTACACCCCTTCCTCCTGGGGCCTTTTTTGGGGATGAGCTTGGTTTCAGTGCCTGGGTCAACATCTGTATATAGGGCATTCATTTCTGAACATCAATTGAACTTCTTTTCTGAGTCTTTCTGATTTTTGCTATCTTTCATGTCCAGGTATGTGGATCAGTGCATACTGTCATGGTATGACTGAAAAACTCTTATTGTTCTGATTTGTGTTTTTTAGCATCCTATTCCTGAAGAAGCTTAATGTAAAACATATCAAGAGAAGCCGTATCCACAACTGAGAGATCTTAATAAATGTGGCTGTATTTATTACCTTGCCCTTAGATTTTGGACCAATTTATATTTGTCAGTAATAATATATAGTAGTTGTGGTTAGGCCTCTTTGGGGTGTTAAGAATGGCGATTAATAATTTTAACAGGATCTTATGTATTTTGAGTATAGGTAAAATTTTCTGATTTTATAAAAAAAAAAGGTTTTTGTCCATAAACATTTGTTGAGAGGCAACTCCATGAAAGTCCAATTCAATATTTTCTTTCGCTTTATTTTCTTATGTCAGAGTTGTCATCCTGCTGGATAAAGCAAAGGCAGGGAGATCCATCAAAGAGAATCTCCCTGGCTGTATTTATTACCTTGCCCTTAGATTTTGGACCAGTACTATATAGTAGTTGTGGTTAGGACTCTTTAGGGTGTTAAGAATAACGATTAATAATTTTAACAGGATCTTTTCTATTTTGAGTATAGGTAAAATTTTCTGATTTGATAAAAAAAAAGGTTTTTGTCCATAAAGATTTGTTGAGAGACAACGCGATGAAAGTCCAATTCAATATTTTCTTTTGCTTTACTTCCTTATGTCAAAGATGCCATCCTGCTGGATAAAGCAAAGGAAGGGAGATCCATCAAAGAGAACAGTGACTAACACAGTAGTGATATCACCCAAATCTTACTCAAAATCTTGTGAGATTAATTGAGTTACTAAAGGCAAATAGGCTGCCCAATTTGCAAGAAGATTTATTTCAAGAGATTAGTGAATGAGGTGAAGCTCTGTTGACTTCCATCCATGCACTACTATTTCTTAGGATTATCTAAAGGCAAAATGTAGAATTTTCAGGGTTCTTCTTAGTCAAAACTATGAATTCTAGATTTTCTGTATAACATGGCAAATCTTTACTTTTTGCATTCAGGGCAAATTATATACAAGAGTGGCCATGCTAGGTTGCGGGTTACACTGCAGGTGATGGAAAAAGCTGAACCCTGGTAGTTCCTTTCTTGTGTATAATAAACCATGTTCAGGGGTGGACTGACCATTTGGAAACTCGGGCACTGCCCGAGGGCCCGGGGTCAGTAGGGGGCCCCATGAGATGCCCCTAGTACCTTTTTCATAGGCTTTTTTGAGTTTGGGCAAGGACACAGGGCCCCCATGATCCCCTAGTGCCCGGGGACCCCATGAGTTGTCAGTCAGCCCCTGACCATGTTCTATACATACAGTAATCCATCCTTCATGGATTGAGCAGTTTTACTTTTAGATCTGCCTGAGCAAGCACCACTCTAAAAAACTACTATATTCAGGTAGGGCACAACAATTGAACTTAAAGTGACACTAAAGCTTCAGGATTTATCTTTCTAAAAAAACAAACATTTCTATACTTATCTGCCCTGTGCAGTGGCTTTCAACAGAGCAGCTCCAATCCTCTTCTTTTTTGGGTCCCCACTGGCACTGTTGGCTCCTCCCCCTCAAGCAGTGCCCCCAGGGAAAGCCACTCACCCTGGGGGGCACCGCTGCGTGCTCATCACCAAGCTGCTGCTCTATGCGTCCATAAGACACATAGAGCCGTGGCTCGGCCCACCCCCCACTCTCTCCTCATTGGCTCACTTGCTGTGATTGACAGCCAATGGGCTCCTGCTGCTGTCTCAGCCAATGAGGAGGAAGAGTCCCCTCACAGCAGAGGCTTTTAAGAATGTCGTTGGATTGAAGGGGGCTCAGGTAAGGATTGGTGGGGGGGCTGGAGGGGGATGCTGCACATAGAAGGTTTTTTACCTTCATGCATAGAATGAGCCCTTATAACCACTTTAAAGTATAACTATAGACAAAACTTTTTATTACATTTTGGACAGAGCGGAGAGGGATTAGAACACCTGTCCGATTTTTAATTAATAGTAAAGAAAGAGGCAGCGCCATCTAAGTGCAGCATGTAGATTATCATTTATTGGGGTAAAATTGGAGCAACTCACAAGATAGCAATGTTACAATGCTTGTAACGAAACAAATGCCCTTTCCTCTTTGTGGCAGGTTTTTATTGCTATCTGTGCCTCCATTAAGGAGATTCACCTTCTCTATTTGTCCTGTTTACCATTATCAATGAAAGTGAAAGGAAACGGAAAACCCAATGTTTGGGTTGTCTTCAATAGTGTTGATATGGGGACATTAGTTTTGGTGACCCTGATGACAACTAGGGATTCCATCACTTTAGAGGGATTTTCTCTCACTTCCTGTTTTGGCTATGGGACAGGAAATGAAGGTAAATTTCCCCAATGAGATACATATGACAAAAATAAACCTTACAGGGGTAATAACCCTCCCTTACTATATCCAAAATGAAAAACAAAAGTTTTACCTTTAGTTATGCTTTAATCAGTGTGTTAATGAGCTGTTCAGTGTAATGGTTACCTAATTTGTTTTTAACATTGTCTAATGGAATTGGTTGGCAGCTTAGCTCAGTTACTGAATGATTCTAGCCTGTTTGGTCTTCTGCAATCAAAATATCATTGTCTTACTATGGGCAATCTGTGTCCTCTGGAGACATTTTATTCTGCTAGAGGTTCCATAGGACTCTTTTGCCAGTATAACAGGATCTGATTGCTTCACCAGGATGTATTAGTGATGATCTGGTTGGTCTGAGCTAGTGCAAGTTTAGGTTCTAGTGAAATAATTCACTGACCATTGGTTAGGCCAGTGCAAGGGGTGTTTGCTTAGTAGCTTTTTTCTTGCACTGGCTCCAATGAACTATCTAGGAGTTTCTTTTTTGGGCTTTTTTTTATGGGAATGATGAACTTGGAAAGGGATCCCATAGGATCTCTATGCTGATAGTGACTAGTACTTCTTCCAGATATTAAAAGCTGCTCACAGTCATTGACTTCCCAGCACTAGGGTAATTTACTCACACAGCTATAGGAACATTGGTTGCCCCCTTCCAATATCCACCAGGCTCTTCTTGGTGAGGGAGATTTAGACTCACACCACCATAGAACAGCTGGACTCTTTCTCACCAACTTCCTCCTGGCTCTCTCCAGTGAACTTCTCTAGACCCCACTTGATCCAAGGATTTGAACTTGTGAATAGGCACCCCAGGTAAATGTCGCTGGGACCTTGCTGCCTTCCTGATGGCTTCTCCTTGAAATCTGCCCCAGGGGCAGAGCCCCCTGCACAGGAGTCTCCTCCAGCAGGAATGGACCCAGGAACTCTGCACTCTGCTGCTCAGGCCTCAGACTATTTATGGACTCTCTCACCACTTACTGGGCACACCTCCCCAGGGATTGGCTGGAGTCTCATAAATATTGAAGCTGCTCACTCTGCTATTCCTCCCACTATGGTTCTAGAATCCACTAGAAGACAAGAGAAAGCAATCAGAGTAACAGCCTATGAGACACTGAGTAACCCTGAATAACCAATCCCTGCTCCTCTGATTACAGCAGAGCCAACTAAATTTACCTGCCAGCCTACACTACACTAGAAAGATGCTACAAGTATATCAACAGGAAAAATACAAAAACCCCTTTAAAGTGTATCTAAAGCCAACATTCATTTGTTTTGTTTAACCACTTCCCATCCGGCCCATGTATATAAACAGCCAGATGGGAGCAGTGCAGGGGCGCACTCCCTGGGAGCGCGCAGCACCGCAATCCGGAGCCCGCTGTCTCCTCCAGACACAGTGGAACACCGATCATTGTACGGCACCTCTGTGCGAGGTCACGATCATGTGATCACTGATTGGCCAATCAGTGATCACATGAAGAGTAATAAGCAAGATGTCACTTCTGACATCATTGCTTACTACGTGTGAAATTTGTGAATAATCACAGAGGTCACATGGTACAAGGCCATTCATAACAGATTATTTATTTGCAAAATTTTATAAGAAAAACTTTTTTCAAAATTGCTGGACTTTTTAATTTATATAGCAAACAAAAATAAAAATATCAGTGCTGAATAAATACCACCAAAATAAAGCTTTATCTGGCTCAAAAAATGCTAAAAAATTCATATGGGTACAGTGTTGCATGACCGCGCAATTGTCATTCAAAGTGTGATAGCGCTGAAAGCTGAAAATTGGCCAGGACACGAAGGGGGTAAAAGTGTCTGGACTTGAAGTGGTTAAAGCAGGGGAGGGTAAAAACCTCTGCCAAGTTTTTATTACTGTCTGTGTTCTTGGTGGCCAGGTTCCCTCTCTCTCTTTCTCCTGGTGAATCGAGTCACTGGTACTGATAGTGATAGAAAATAAAAAATTGTGACTTATCACTATGTTAGATGAATGGGGAGGGGTCATCCAATAGGAACACTTGTTCCAAAGACAACTGTGTAAGAAAGGCTGGGTAGATATTTTCTCCCATTGTGTCTCAAGTGAAGAAAAATCTCTTCAGTGGGACTCAGACACTAACCAATCCTTACTGCCTAATTAAAAAAAACAGGCCTCATTCTCCGCAAACTGATCATACACCCTTATTTACAATTGAGATGTGAGATGTTAGCCATTTAGAAGGCAGAACAGCACTTTTTGTGGAGATGACCCTAATGAGGATTTGGTGGGCACCAGAGAGCTCTAGGGCTTGCGTAGGTTGTAACATTGTTTTATGGTGTTTGAGGGATTTCACATTCTTGCCACCAGGCTCGTTCTTTGCAGGAGACATTTGCTAATGAAAACAAAGTTCCTGTATTATATTTCCATGTCCTAAACTGTCAGTTAAGTTAACCTTTAAATTATTGCAAGGTCTGGAAGAATGTAAGTACAGTAGTTAAAGTATGCTCGTAATATGTTATTACATTTGACATGTTACATTTGGATGGCTTCAATACAAAAATGTTTAAGTGAAAATGTAAAAAAAAATTAAACAAACATTACACGGATAACCTGCATATTAAATGGTGAAATATACAACTTTTTAAAGCCCCATTTGCACTATACTAAAGAGGTCTCCTTCAAAATATATACAATATTTGTTCTCTAACATATACTAAAAACTAGTTTATTAGTTGTTTTTTTAGTAAAATCTTTAATAGGGGTTAAAATAACACAGTTTAAAGAAGAACTCCAGTCAGACATCTAAATACACTTGTTCCAGTTCTGGGATATACACAGCTCTGCCACACAGCACAGTCCGGTCTGGCAGCACAAGAGACCTGGCTTGTTTTCAGCTGCAGTTTAGATGCAGTTACAGGTCTTGTCCCTCCCCCAGCCTGAGTGGATAGTGAAAAGGGAAGCAACACACTGATAAAATCATCCACCGCAGATTGCTTTTCAGAGGGGCTGCAAGGTAAACAAGCCTCAGAGTTATTGTTGGGGTTAACTTTTTGGTTAGGGTTATATTTAAGTTAAGCCGGGTCCACACTGATGTGCTGCAGAATTCGCAGAGGTTTCTGTGTGAATTCCGTACTGCATCACAATCGCACCCCGTTTGTGCGAACCGCTGTGGGTGTGTATGTTAAGTTAACAACACCCCAAAATCGGTACGCAAAACGAGGTTTGATGTGCAGAATCGGATCACATAGGTGTGAATCTAGTGCGACTTTTTGGTGTGGATACAGTGCAATTTGAGCCATAAAAAATGTATGGCTCAAATTGCACCGCACACAATTCACATGTGATTTGCACAGGAATGCGGTGCAGTTCCTCTGCGAATCACATGCAATATACCACACCGCACAAGTGTGAACCCAGGCTTAAAACTCAGACATGAAATATGAACAAAGCATATCCCTCTATACTGTGTACCTGTCTCAATTAAGAGCACTAAGTGTCATTTCTGTCTGCTGCCATGTTCCTCTGCTATCAGCATGAACCACTTCTGACAAGTTTTCCTGACACCAAAAGAAAAATGGTGACGGGGAGGGTCCTCCAGCAGATTGACAGCCTCAGCTCTACCCTTGGGGGGGTCTCTTCCTTCCAATCAGCTCTCAGAGCTAACCCCACTGAGTTCTGCGGAGTGTAATTTGAGCTCTCTGACCCTTTTTTCTGAACTCTCAAACAAGCTTTGACATTCAGCACTTTGAACGGATGTAGAGAAGAGACTACTGAAGATAAACAGGTACAACTTATGTAGGAGGATTTGTTTCATCTCTGTGTATCACCTGAGGCCAGTCACTTTACTGGGTACCGTATTTTCCGTCGTATAAGACGACTTTTCAACCCCTGAAAATCTTCTGAAAAGTCGGGGGTCGTCTTATACGCCGGTGCGAGCCGGTGTCAGGGCGGCACTTTTTCGAGGGGCGGCGCGGCACCGCCCCCCTCCTCCTCCAACGGACACTAAGTTCAGGGGTGGGCAGAGGGGCTGCTGTACCTTACCTGGCTCCGGTCCCACCACGATCCGGTCCAGGAAACACGGCTGCTCCTTCTTTCAGTTCGGCCGCTAGATGGTCACGCAGCCACTCGGCTCCGCCTCCTCACCGGTGATTGGGCGCCAGCACTGGAAAGGCACACAGGCGACCAATCACCAGCGAGGAGGCGGAGCCGAGCGGCCCCACGAAAATCGAGCGGCCGAACTGGAAGAAGGAGCAGCCGCTCCTCTCCCCCACTGACACTAACGATGGGGCACTGTTCCTCCCCCACTGACACCAATGATGAGGGCACTGTTCCTCCCCCACTGACACCAACGATGAGGCACTGTTCCTCCCCCACTGACACCAACGATGAGGCACTATTCCTCCTCTCCACTGACACCAATGATGGGGCACTATTCTCCCCACTGATACCAATGATGGGGCACTATTCCTCCCACTGATACCAACGATGGGGCACTATTCTCCCCACTGATACCAATGATGGGGCACTACTTCTCCTCCCCACTGACACCAACGATGGGGCACTATTCTTCTTCCCCACTGACACCAATGATGGGGCACTATTCTCCCCACTGACACCAATGATGGGGCACTATTCCTCCCACTGACACCAATGATGGGGCACTATTCCTCCCACTGATACCAATGATGGGGCGCTATTCCTCCCACTGACACCAATGATGGGGCGCAATTCCTGCCACTGACACCAATGATGGAGCACTATTCCTCCCACTGACAACAATGATGGGGTGCTATTCCTCCCACTGACACCAATGATGGGGTGCTATTCCTCCCACTGATACCAATGATGGGGCACTATTCCTCCCACTGATACCAATGATGGGCCGCTATTCCTCCCACTGACACCAATGATGGAGCACTATTCCTCCCACTGACACCAATGATGGGACACTATTCCTCCGACTGACACTAATGATGGGACACTATTCCTCCCACTGACACCAATGATGGGGCACGATTCTTCCCACTGACACCAATGATGGGGCACTATTCCTCCCACTGACTAATGATGGGGCACTATTCCTCACACACTGACTCTAATGATGGGGCACCATCATTGGTGTCAGTGGGAGGAATAGTGTCCCATCATTGGTATCAGTGGGAGGAATAGTGCCCCATCATTGGTGTCAGTGGATGAAATAGTGCCCCATCATTGGTGTCAGTGGGAGGAGTAGTGCCTCATCATTGGTGTCAGTGGGAGGAATAGCACCCCATCATTGGAATACCATACTGAAATGCCATTCCATATTGAAATCAAATCTGATGTTTTTTCATTTTTATTTGGTGTGCGTTGGAAGAGGGGTAGTCTTATACGGCGAGTATAGCCCAAACCCTATATTTTAACAGGAAAAGTAGGGGGTCGTCTTATACGACCAGTCGTCTTATACGCCGGAAAATACGGTATTTGTACGGGTTTACAACCACTTTAGGGTTAGCAGTCTGTGGCACAGAAACAGTTCCAAGATAGTTAAAAGGAGGTTTCCAAACCTGTAAACCTATACGCAGATCATACACGCAGACGTATTCGCATTTTCTGATCAATCAGTAATAGCACCTCAAAGCCCTCATTCACCTCTGTATCTATAAATCTATAACTGTTGTAAAGAAATTTATTTTCAAAGTTCACAACATAGACATTTAAATCTTAGCTTTTTCTTCCATGGGGACAGACCTTGGCAGTCTGCTGGCCCTCTAAATATAACACAGCAGATATTTCTAAGCTGTTAGAAAGCATAAACTATGATCTTTGAGAATAAAAAACTGTACAATAAAGTAGGTAAGAGAGGTCAGGGATTGCTTATTTAAATCTCTTTTTACTGCATGTTAAAAGGGAGCTCCAGTCAAAACATAAATAAAATAAAGGTCAACAGCTACAAAAACTGTAGCTGCTGACTTTTCAGCGGTGTCCTCACCACAGCCAGTTTCACTGGCTGTCCTCTCTCCCTGGTGCCAGCATCTTCAGTGTGGGCACCTGGCTGTGACAGCTTGCGGCTTCATAGCCAAGTGCTCACTGCATATGCTCAAGTAGTCCTGCTGTTTGTGAATGGTCCCGTAGTCTTCTGGGACCTGTCACGTGTCCCAGAAGACTACGGGGAGGGAGGGGGGAGGACAACTTCCGCTTCCGATCACCTTAGGTAATCACACCAGAAGCGAGAGAGGGTAACTGTCATATTCGGGTACCCGCTCCCAAGAGGTGCCAATCCTTAATGGGGAGTGGGGGACAAAGGCTTAAAGCGGAAATTCCCCTTTTGGGTGGAGCTCCACTTTAAGGTGAAATTTATGCACAAAACTGATTGAACAACAGCAGTGTCTCCTCCCTTATTGGATGATTCAGTCTGAAGTTTCAGTCAGATCGGCCAACTAGAATGGGAGCAATTTTTGCTGTGCTCTCTCTTTAGATAACCCATATAGTAAATAGATAGAAATAAAAAAATGTGATATATATATATATATATATATATATATATATATATATATATACACAGTTGTGTTCAAAATAATAGCAGTCAGACATCACTAACCTGATCATTCACTGTTTTTGGTAGAAATTATATTTCTACATGGCAAATAATTTACTAGCAGGTGTAGTAGAGTAATAGAAATCCAAAAGACCCAACAGTCATGACATGCATGCTGCTGATTCTGTGTAATTGAATCACTAATTGAAAGGGGCATGTTCAAAATAATAGCAGTGTGGAGTTCTATTAGTGAGGTCATTCTTTCTTTGAAAAACAGGTGGCAATTATTGCTATTATTTAAGGAAGGAAGGCAGCAAATGTTGTACATGCTGGTTACAGTGCATTTCTCTCTGAAATTCTGAGGAAAATGGGCTGTTCCAGACATTGTTCAGAAGAACAGCGTACCTTGATTAAAAAGTTGATTGGAGAGGGGAAAACATATAAAGAAGTGTAGAAAATGATAGGCTGCTCAGCTAAAATGATCGCAAATGCTTTAAAATGGCAACCAAAAGACGTGGAAGAAAGCGAAAACTACCATTCGAATGGATAGAAGAATAGCCAAAATGGCAAGGACTCAGCCAACAATCAGCTCCAGGAAGATCAAAGAAGGTCTAAAGTTCCCTGTGAGTACTGTAAAAATTAGAAGACGCCTATGTGAAGCCAAGCTATCTGCAAGAAGCCCCCGCAAAGTCCCACTGTTGAAAAAAAGACATGTGCTGAAGAGGTTACAATTTGCCAAAGAGCACATTGATTGGCCTAAAGAGAAATGGCGCAACATTTTGTGGACTGATGAAAGTAAGATTGTTCTTTTTGGGTCTAGTGGCCAGAGACAGTTTGTCAGACGACCCCCAAACACTGAATTCAAGCCACAGTACACTGTGAAGACAGTGAAGCATGGTTGCACAAGCATCATGGTATGGGGATGTTTCTCATACTACGGTGTTGGGCCTATTTATCGCATACCAGGGATCATGGATCAGTTTGAATACATCAGAATACTTGAAGAGGTCATGCTGCCTTATGCTGAAGAGGAAATGCCCTTGAAATGGGTGTTCCAACAAGACAACGACCCCAAACACACCAGTAAACGTGCAACATCTTGGTTCCAGACCAACAAGATTGACGTTATGGAGTGGCCAGCCCAATCTCCGGATCTTAACCCAATCGAAAATTTGTGGGGTGACATCAAAAATGCAGTTTCTGAGGCAAAACCAAGAAATAGAGAAGAACTGTGGAATGTAGTCCAATCATCCTGGGCTGGAATACCTGTTCACAGGTGCCAGAAGTTGGGTGACTCCATGCAACACAGATGTACAGCAGTTCTCAGAAACAGTGCTTATACAACTAAATATTCATTAAGTGATTCAAAGGAAAGCAAAATCTTCAAATATTTTTCAGTTTATATAGTGAATGTTTGAGTTTGTAAAGAAGAATACAAACACTGCTATTTTTTTAAACAGTCTAATATTCACTTTTCTTCAATTTTTTTAGAGGAACAACACAAATTTGATCTATTTTTCTTCATGTTTTGATTTGGAATAGAATGTGTAGTGTTCCCAATGCATTTGTGTGGATGGAAATAAAAGCTATTAGAAGGATTTTGAGCTTTATTCACTTTTTTCAACACTGCTATTATTTTGAACACAACTGTATATATATATATATAAATACACTATATTGCCATAAGTATTGGAACGCCTTTCTTTATAAACACATGAACTTTAATGGCCCCCCAGTCTTAGTCCGTAGGGTTCAATATTAAGTTGGCCCACCCTTTGCAGCTATAACAGCTTCATCTCTTCTGGGAGGTTTAGGAGTGTGTCTATGGGAATGTTTGACCATTCTTCCAGAAGTGCATTTGTGAGGTCATTCACTGATGTCAGACGAGAAGGTCTGGCTCACAGTCTCCACTCTAATTTATCCCAAAGGTGTTCTATCGGGTTGAGGTCAGGACTCTGTGCAGGCCAGTCAAGTTCCTCCACCCCAAACTCACTCATCCATGTTTTTATGGACCTTGCTTTGTGCACTGGTGCGAAGTCATGTTGGAACAGGAAAGGGCAATCCCCAAACTGTTCCCACAAAGTTGGGAGCATGAAATTGCCCAAAATGTCGTGGTATGCTGATGCCTTAAGCGTCCCCTTCACTGGAACTAAGGGGCCAAGCCCAACCCCTGAAAAACAACCCCACACCATAATCCCCCCTCCACCAAACTTTACACTTGGCACAATGCACTCAGGCAAGTACCATTCTCCTGGCAATCGCCAAACCCAGACACGTCCATCAGATTGCCAGACAGAGAAGCATGATTTGTCACTCCAGAGAACACGTCCCCACTGCTCTAGAGTCCAGTGGCGACGTGCTTTACGCCACTGTTTCCAACGTTTTGCATTGCACTTGGTGCTGTAAGACTTGGATGCAGCTGCTCGGCCATGTAAACCCATTCCATGAAGCTCTCTACGCACTGTTGTTGTGATAATCTGAAGGCCACTCAAGGTTTGAAGGTCCTTAGCTATTGACCCTGCAGACAGTTGGCAGATTCTGCACATGCTCTGACCCCGCTTAGTCATTTTACGTGGCCTACCACGTTGCTGTTGTTCCCAGTTGCTTCCACTTTGTTGTAATACCACAAACAGTTCAGCGTGGAATATTTAGTAGCAAGGAAATTTCATGGATGGACTTATTGCACAGGTGGCAACCTATCACGGTACCACGCTTGAATTCACTGAGCTCCTGAAAGCGACCCATTCTTTCACAAATTTTTGTAGAAGTCCGAATGTCTAGGTGCTTGATTTTATATGCCTGTGGCCATGCAGGTGAATGGAACACCTAAATCCAATGATTATGAGGGGTGTCCCAATACTTTTGGCAATATAGTGTATATATGTATATATATATGAAACATCAAGTTAAAAACTGAAAAACGTAATTACATTTGACACTATGGGTTGATTTACTAAAACTGAAGTGTGCAAAATCTGATGCAGCTGTGCATGGTAACCAATCAGCTACTAACTTCAGCTTGTTCAATTAAGCTTTGACAAAAAAAAAAACCCTGAAAGCTGATTGGTTTCTATGTAGAGCTGACTATATTTTGCACTGTCCAGTTTTAGCAACCCCTATACAATTATACTAAGGGTGGTGCATTTGTCTATGTATGAGACTTGCCAGCAATATTATCTATTGACTACTAGTCTACTCATTGAATCATTTTACCCACAAACAACACTTTAGTTGGTTTAATAAAGTAAAACAAAAATCAAATAAGATGTTCACTTTGCAAAGGAAGTTGCACTTCAATTCAACAGTATGAAATCCTATCTTGTATGCTTATTCCATGGCTTGTTCCAGGGCATTAACTAACTAGAGAGTGATGCTAGGTCAGGATGAAAGCCACAGAACCTGCACCTTTAAACAAGTCAAGAATGGCAGCTTTCTTATTTTTGTTGTCACGGGTTCACTTTATAGGAAAAAAATCAAGGGGTTTTCGTGTGACAGGCGAACAGCTGCAGGTCTCGGCACGTGCCGATGGACCACAAGAGATCGCAGCTGCTTCAGCACAGGATTTCTGTGAAATGAAATGAGACCTTATTTTAAAAAGGTCAAAATGAACAATGTCAAAGGGATATTTTATGATTTGGGTCTGATTAACAACAGGGTCTGCCAATGCTTGCATATACCACTCTAGCTTCTTTGAAAGCTGTACCCTTCTCAGGTGAAGACCTACATAATCTAAAATGTAACAATAATAAATAATGAAAATAAAAAAGTGGTTGATCTGAGAATAAAGGCCTATATACAGCTCCATATTTTGTTACCATTTAACAAGATTTTTTTGTGGCTCATGTAACTCTTGCATCTCAACAATCACACAGAGAATGGCAACCAACTTGTCTGTTCCGAATGGCCTCATTAGTGCCTTTAGAGTAGTCTTCCGCTTTCAGAAGATAGGGGCTGGCATTCCATGTGTTCTAACTTCTGTTCCCAGTCAGAGAGATTCCCCTCACCTGTCCTTACTCCGTGGCCTTACCTGCCCTCAGGGGTGGACTGACAACTCATGGGGCCCCCGGGCAATAGGGGATCATGGGGCCCCTGTCTCCTTGCCCAAACTCAAAAAAGCCTATGAAAAAGGTACCAGGGGCATCTCATGGGGCCCCTTACTGACCCCGGGCCCCCGGGCAGTGCCCGAGTTTCCAAATGGTCAGTCCGCCCCTGCCTGCCCTTACTCCCCGGCCTCTCATGTACTTTTCCAAAGCAGTCCCATCCCTCCTTGTGCCTTCTCACCATCGTTAGCCAGCATGAAATTACAACAGACTGAAAAGTCTGGACAGGCTGTAAACATAATAGCATTTGTCTGTTTTTTTGCAGGCATCCCTGAATCATACAAAATGACCAGTAGGCACTAGCATGCACAAGCTATTACTCACCCTACTAGGGCCTATTGCTAGTGGCCTACATGACGCTCGGGATGAGCAAAATTGGGAGTCTTCATTTCCCCAATATTTCAGTGAAAATCAAGAACTTTAAGTGAAATTTTCCCCATTTTGGTAAAATGCATTGGAGTTAATGTGGATAGTGAAGTCAAGGTGGTTTTTGGTGTTTCTTTTTATTGAAATGGACGCACATGGGCTTTAAAGCTGAACTCCAAGATATATTTGTATTTGCGTTGCATACTTACATTGGTCTGCTTTGGCACAATGTAAGTCATCTCAGGTATCTCGTACCTGAGGAGCAGCTGGGGAAGCTAACAATCACTGTAGTTGTCTTCACTACTACAGTGATAGTTGTGGTCTTCCAGGTCCGGCTCATGTTCTCTGCTTCTCCTCTGCACACTGACCACAGGGGGAGCTCCCTGTGCCCCACTGCCATTTATAAAATGCCTTGTGGTTTTTTTCATGAATACAAGACTGGAAGAGGCAGAGATTGTGATTTCCACCTTGTCCAATGAGAGAACACCATAAATAAACTATGCAGTTGCACTCTTTTTCCCCACAGTTTAGTAAATGTGGTAAAGTTCTGCTGATTTCCATCACCCAATCATATGCAAACAAAAATGCTGTTTTTATATTTTTCCTTGCACCTTATTAGGTATTCTTTACAAAGTTAAGCTTCACCACATTAATTACTCTTTGGAGAAAATTAGTGCAACTGCACTTGCAAAATTGCCCTGTCTATTTGCCTTTAGTAAATCCATTCCTTTGTATGCACTGAAAAAAATAAATGGTATTCTACAAATGGCAGCAACGCTGATCTAGCACCACTGTGGTCAATGTTCAGAGAGGAAGCTGCTTGCACACAACCTGAGCAGAACTCGGAAGACCGCAGCTACAACTGTAGTAGTACTGACTACTACAGTGATATTCAGATTCCACAGGGTCTTGTTAGGTATGAAATATGCATATTTACTGTATGTTGTGCCAAGCTGGGCCAATGTACCTTAGCAATACAGAGCATTCCTGGAGTCCAGTTTTAAATGGTTCAGAGACTTACAGAAGCTGCTTTTTTTCTGTTTTTTGACCTGTTCTTGTGTCAAAAATCAGCCCCTCCCCATTAGTCTCATTATCTGACATTTTTTTCCTACAGAAAGAAAAAAAACAGACAATGAATAAAATAGTAAAATAAAAAACATAAACCAACAGTACACAAATAGTGATTAAATATATTAAAAAACACAAATATTAAGATAATACTGAACATTTTATATGACTTATTATGATAATAACTATAGGCTGCTGTTAGATTTTTCTTTTCATTTGATGGTGTTATGTGGCTGACATTTAAATATGAACTCCAGACAAGCAGCTGAATACACACTGGAGATAAATATTTGGGAACAATCTTACCCGCCTAGCAATTTGTAATTCTGTTCAACCAGTCCCGTGATCCAGGCACGCTTCCAAACAGCATTGTCAGATCCTCAATATCCTTACTGGAAGCAGCACAACTTGGTCAAATGCTCAACTCTGATGATGAGCATCAGATCATAGAGTCATTACTCTACTTTCTCCTCCCCCATCAGCATGTTTATTGTCAGCATACTGTATGTGCACTGGAGAAGAACCATATTGGCTCCTGGTCCAATCTCTGTTAAATGATTGCAGAAATCAATTGCCAAGACAAATCTTGGTATTTACACTTGTTACATTTAAAATACAAATTATTTTTAAATAAATTTGCTCCTGCTTTAATTGTTTTGTGTTTTATATCTACCTAGAGCTGAGCAAGAGAAAGTTAACTCTGAACGTTGTAACAAAAAAAAGGAAGGCAGAGGAGAAAGGACTCGCTGCAGCAGATCATTCCTACTACAGACTTACAATACTTTACTTTGCATTGTGTCTCTGTATTGAGGCAGCCATCTTGGTAGAGGCAGGGCTTTGCTTTCTCATATTAGGTTTGTACAGTACAAAACAGTGGCCAAAGCATGACCAAAGAGTACAATGATAACATAATAAAGGAGATAAATAAAGCAAATCCACAATAGCCAGTGGAAGCATAAAGAGATTCCAAATATACATCAAAAGTGCAACAAGGATTGGCGTACATCAAGAAAACAAGCATGTCATGAAATAGATACACAACCAATCAAAAAGATCCAAAGAGAACTACTATGGACAGACTTCATAAAAATACCTCATGGCAGAAAAGACTGTCATTTTGATTTCCATATATCCCATCTATTAGAGAACAAGGACAACTGATATTTAAAGTATAACAAATTATTTCCATAAGCGTAATAGAATAAATTCTTGTAATAGTTGTAAAAAAAACGGAATGCTATCTGATTTCCAGTGCAACACTATGGCCCAGAGAGTAGCCACACAGATAGTGTGGATGAGTTGCTCCTCATGATGCGTAGACCCTGAAATAGGGGGAAAGAGAAGGAACATCAGGAGAGTCAAGTCCAAGGTATTAGCAGTAATAGCGCATGGAATCTGAGAATTTTTTTTGCCAAAGCAATTATGCCTTGTTACAAGATCTAAAAATGTGTACCCATGAGCCCCTGGAGACGTATCCTCTAAAGCACAGATTAGGTACACCAGGGTAATTGGTATGTAGTGTTATTGGTGTGTAACACCATCTGTTAAGAAGTTTGAGGGCTGTCTCCTTAATAGTAAGTGACTTAGTACAGCTACGCAAATTGTCTATCGTCATGGCCAAATCTTCTGTAGTAAAGAGTGTATCACAATCTGCCTCCTATCTGCTCATATATGGAAGGAAGTCTGAAAAGAGTTTCCCAATATAAGAGCTATATAAATCTGATATTAAACCTTTGCTACTGGACGAATCATGGCAGATGTTTTAATAAAAGGTTGATGACGAAGAGGTAGATAATGCATAGTGCATAGCATAAAAATGCCTGATTTGTAGATAATGAAATGATTCCCACGATGGAATGTTCCTACGGGAAACCAGGTGGTCAAATTAAATTCTGTACCAACCTGAACGGAGATTAAAGTGATTAAATTGTTTCTATGCCACCAAGAAAAAAACAATGGCAAGGAAAAGGCTATCTTAAAAGGTGGGTTACAAAAAAGGAGGTCCCAGGTTATATTGAGGAGGAAAACCAAGTGTGGATTTATAGGGACCAAACCCAAAATGAGTAGGCCAGGAAGGTCGAAAGGATGTATAGATCCAGCCTAAAACTTGATCCATAGTATTTTGGAGTTAATGATATTCCACTGGACCTTTTGAGAGAATCTAGATGCCAAGTAGTAATACCAAAAGTGGGGTAGGCCTAGGTCCCCTTTAGATTGCGACTTATATAATAGAAATCTGGAGATTCTGAGCCATTT